AAGATTTATGCAGGGCTACTGGTCACTCAAGCCTTTGCAGCACCTCTGACAGAAGGCAAACTCATATTTTTGGCCAAGGCCTTCATTTTAGGTAAAAGACATTATTTTGCTGGCTCCAAAATTATCTTTAGTAGCCCATGCTCATGGAGTTATCTTCCCTTAGGCAGTCTGTTTAACTGGGAGCATTCTGACTTTTACTTCCTCTGCATTCGAAGCAGGTGTTTCTAGTTTTAGACCTAAACTGCTTCTACCCTCCAGATAGCAACTCTGGAACCTCTCCCAAAAAAAGACTGAGGTAATGACCAACCAGGCACACCTGTGACTGGAACCGTTTACTATATATACCTTTGTCCCCTGCCCCAGTTCCTTTGCCTACTTAAATTATAGCCAAGTCTGTACCCCAAGGTCCTTGGTTTTCTTCTCATGCTGATAGCTGGCCCATGTGTCAAGGCTCACTTCGTCTCCCAAAGGTACATTTCTTTAGACAGGCTGCCACTCAGACCAGCAAAGGATGCTGCTTTTACGTCAGGAACTCAATGCCAATCTCCAACAGTGAACAACAGACAGCTGGGAACAGTGGTTCTTCCTGGGCTAAGTGGATGCCACGGGTCTTCCCTCTACTGGGACTCCTTATTTTTCCCATTGTGACCTTGCCTTCAAAACAGGAGGGGATTAGATCTCCTCACAGCTGAAAAAGGCAGGCTATGCCTCTTCCTAAACGAGGATTGTTGTTTTTTCACCAGTAAGTCTGGCATAGTTAGGGACAGGATAAAAAAAAAAAAAACTCAGGGACAGAGCACAACAGCTAACATCCGTACAGCCTACTAATATTCTTTCCTCCTTGTACCTATGGCTAATCCTGCTGGTGGTCCCTCTCTCATTCTTGTCTGTCTGGCTGTAATGTTCCTACCATGCCTCATTAGTACCCTCCAAAAACTGTTACAGGAATGTATTACTGCCATTTCTCGGGCTATCTCAGGGGAGCAGTTCAAGGCCATCATGCTTCTACAAACTTTCCAGACTCAATAACCCCCACATTGCCCCTAGCCAGCAGGAAGTAGCCAGAAGACAGGTAATGCCCCATGCCACTTATGTTGTTGTGTAACAACAAGCTCCATGATTTTAGAAACTGAAGGGTCTGCCAGGGGAAAAGGATATTCCTTATTTGGATACCTTATTTGGAACAATTGATTATTCAAAACTTTTGAACATTTACAAATTAAGCAACCAACCTAAATCATCCCAAAGGACAGACCCGAGCTGTTATTTTCATCTTTAGTGATTTGCCCTCTCTCAACCTGAGAAGCTGCCGGGATTCCAGTACAAATCAAAACGATGACCGCAGCCTGCAGCGTGCCAATTTTTAGGCACCTAAGCTATCTGTAGGAAGCAATGCTAGCGGTCTGGGAGGAAGCAACAGGGTGTTTGTGAGACTGCAGCTCAGTTTGCCTTCGTAGTGTGGCCGCTCCTGCTTGTGGATATTCTCCATAGTGGAACAAGTAGTTCAACAGGAATAAAGCCTGGATTTCCCTCTTTGTCTCTCTTAGTGCTTTGCATTCTTGGCACAATCCTGAAGAGGCAGACAAGCCCTGTGAAAATGCTCTATCCAAATAAGGTATATCCTTTCTACTTGGTAGAATCCTTCAGTTTCTAAAATAGTGGCACTTGTGTTGTCAGAACCAATGAAGCAACTAAAAGAATTTTAAAAACTAAGCTATCAGTCTGGACCTCTGTAGGAGAATGAAGGAGAAGCACCTTAAAGTTGGGGGAAAATTACACTTAACTACTGGTGTTCTGTGTTTCATTCCTGATTTCATCTGAAACAGAGATAGGATTACTATGACCATTCGAAGAATGGTGGTTTGCTAATGAGCTTTTGGCTCCCCTTTATGGTGGATTTGGGCCCTAACATGTTGCTAACTTGTTGGGTTATTGTTTTTCAGTAACATGGAGGCTTTACTCAAGAGATTTACTGGGTTGTAATTACCTGGCACCCAGGGGTAAATCTAATACCAGTCAACACTGGGATTTGAACTCAGGGCCTTGTGCTTGGTAAGCAGTCACTGTACTATTTGAGCCATGTGCTATCTCTTCTGATTTTCTCATCACCAGGAAACAAATGTCTTTTCCTCTGAAGTAACACAGTAACTAGAAATAACAAGTTGGTGCATCCTCCTTTATGAGTCTTAACTAACGAATCCCATCCCTACTTTGACTGGAAAGCAAAGACCCCCTAGGGTTCTTTCCCCAAATAGGCATCAGCAATTAGTGAAGGGATAAAGGAGGCTGCTACACAGGACCATCTGTAAGAGCAGTTAATCCACCTCCAGGCAAATCTCAACCCTCCCTCCAACCAGAAGGGAACTTGGGAACCTGGATTTCTGATGCACGAGGCAGGTGGATGATCTTTCCCAAAGTTGGGTTTGGAGACTCAAGGTGAAATTTGTCCTTCTCGAGTCTCAGATGACCTTCAGGCTCTTCAACATCACAGGTTTTATTTTATTTTGCTTTTTTTGTTTTTTTAAACAGGGTCTTCCTATGTAGTCCAGGGTAGCCTTGAACTTGAGATCCTTCTGCCTAGGCCTCGCAAGTGCTGGGATTACAAATGTGTGCTTGTGAACAGCATAGAGTTTTTAAACTTTTACTGTTATTATTTTTTTGGTAGTGGGGATTGAACTCAGGGCCTTGTGCTTGCTAGGCAGGTGCTCTACTACTTGAGCCACATCCCCAACCCTTTTTACTTTAGTTATTTTTCCAATGAGGTCTCATGTTTATGCCCAGGCATGAACTGTACTGTGATCATCCCATTTATGCTTGTGAGTAGCTAGGATTACAGGCATGGGTTATGGCACCCAGCACATCATAGAATTTTTGAGCTGAAAAGATATTAAACTCCACATTTCTTGTTGAAGGTAGTAAGGAAAAAAAAGGTATATGGAGTCAGGCTAGAGCAGTGTATATTCCTATTAATATTTTTCACCATAAAGCTTAATACAAACACCATCTTTTTCTTTCTTTTTTGGTGGGACCAGGGTTTGAACTCAGGGCCTCACACTTGCTAGGCAGGTGCTCTTATTATGAGCCACTCTGCCAGCACCATCTTTTTCTTGAAAAATAATGTTCTGAGGGGAGAGGTGCCCTATGGCAGGTTTTTAGAATTCTTTTGATTTGTCATTAGAAGAAACTGACATTGAGAAAGCACCCACCCCATTTGCTTGCTGGAGGATTCTGTGTTAAACTTGGCGCTCTGTAAGCAGCTATACATTGCAAACATTTAAGCAGTTAGGAACTCTGCATGTGAGAAGGAATCAGTGTTCAGCTTGTGAGTGGAACTTCAAGGACCATTCACATCAGAGCGCACCACTGGGGGACCATGACTGTGCCAATTTGAGTGTTACTTGCATGATGTCTCCAGTGCCCCTGCCAAAGATCAGTACTAGGGAAAGCAGAGCATGTCATATATAAGTCACACAAGGCTCTTACCTGTTGTACGTTAGTTTCCTTATTTGAAAAAATGGAATGCATCAAGACGTACTATTCACAGAATTTGTACAGGGCTTACACCTAGCTAACAGTAATGTTATGAGTTTTTTTTTTTAAGACACAAATAAGTTTGAAACATGTTTGTCTTCTATTCCACTTACACTTGGTGTAAAAACTGCATTCCATGCCATGCTTGAAATGTTCCAAAGTTCAATTCAGTGATTAAATTGCAACCAAGATTTCTACAAAAAAAAAAAAAAGCCAAAGAAGGAGAGGAAAAAGATATTCTTTCAGAACACTTATCATTGGCAGTGACTCTAACTTACATATGATGAATTATAACATCAATACTTTTCACATACCTTAAAGGAATCTCACTATGGATGATACTGGCTTATGATTTATACTTTAACATTTACAAATGCAGTGCATTAGATACAAAAGAGTGAATGCTCAATGATTACTTGTGTTAAGTGATCTTTATTTCTCTACAACAGGGTTTCACAACTTCAGTGCTATTGACATTTTGGACATTTCTTTGACATTTGTCATTTATGGACAATTCTGTGTCCATTGCAGGATATTCAGTAGCATCCCTATTGTCTGCCCACTAGGTGCCAATAGCATATCCACAGCTGCCAGGTGTCACCTGGGGGTAAAGTCACACTGATGGAGAAGCACTGCTCTGGACTGTTCACTCTGACCTGTAATGATTCTCACTGTCTTTTGGTGCAGACTAAAGAACCTGCTAATTAATTTTAGTAACTTTCTACTAGCAAAATTTTAATTATCTTTCAAAATGAGTAGCAAGATTCCAGGCATAATGAAGTAACTTACACGAATTTCAAAAAAGGTAGTGATTCAAATGTCCGTCTTTCAATATACTGTATTTTATTGCAGGATAAATCTCTAGGAAAAGTAAAAGAAAACATTGCATTGATTAGCTATTAGGTATCTAATTAGCATGAATAGATAGAATTTAGACTCAATAATATTGAAAACATAATTTTTTCTAAACTCTAAACTTTGGATTTGTATTTGAACTTTCTAGAGCCCCCTAATCCTGCTCCCACCTAAGAATCTCACCTTCGTGATTTTCATAAATAAAACATTCACTGTAGATCTTGAGGGATACTTTTATTATGGGTATAACAAGGGCTAGAGTCATGCTCAAGTGGTGGAGTTCCTGTCTATAGTGCACGGTCCTGAGTTCTTCTTTTTTTTTTTTTTATAACCCTTCTAAGTTTGGATATGAAGTGTCCCCCCAAATGGCTCACATGTTAAAGACTTGGTCACCAACAGGTGGTGTGAGAGGTGATTGAATCATCAGGACACTGACTTCATTGATGGATTCACCCACTGAGAAGCTCACAGCTGAATGAGCGATTAGAAAGTGAGGCTAAGGTGGAAGGCGCAGGTCGCTAGGAGCATGCCTTTGACCAAGACCCTCTTTCTTCCCTCTTGCTGCTTCCTGGCTGCCGTGAGGTTAGCAGCCTTGTCCTCCACACCTTTGCCTCCCAGAGGCCCCGAAACAATGGAGAGTGCAGGTACAGACCGAAACCACTCAACTGAGCCAAAATGTGTCTTTGCTCCTTTACCAGGCATTTGGTTACAGTGACCAAAAAAGTGACTCAGATAAGCTCCTTAAAAATGTAAAAAGAAAAACAACAACGACAACAAAAAACCCAATTCTTAACTTATGAGCTACACAAAAGCATGTGGATTAGATTTGACCCATGGGCTGTAGACTAAATATAAATACAAGAAGTATATGGCATAGGAACACTTATAAAATAAGGTTCATATGAGCACCATAATTGCTCAGGCCTTATTGCCCGTTTTCTGCTGTAAGTGGAGTATTTTGTTTTTACATCTCTCTTATCTATATAATTTTTAGAAATCTGAAAATGTATAGGGAGTATTTAATGCCAGAGATAGTCTGAGACCCACACAGACTTACACAAGTGCAGAATTTTTTTTGCTGGAGATTTCAGAAATTATCTCATTTGAACCCTTTATACATTTCATAGATAGTAACTCACAAATAAATATGATCAACTGACTAACTTACAAATACTCAAGGGACAGCAGGCCTTCAAATGAATCCTTACGTAATTCAGTCAGGCGATTTTCACTGAGAATTCTGGAAGATGAAAGGTTATCGCAGGATCAAAATTCATCAAAAAGAGAGAGAGTATCGAGTGATGAAAGGTATGGGGAAATGGGTACTGTCATATTCTGTTCCCTGGTGTGTAAGTTGGCACCACTTTTTGGAGGGCAATTAAAATTCCCTGTCTATAATAGTCTTCACCTTAACCATCCCATTCCTAGATCCCTATTGTACAGCAATACTTGTCCATGCTCACAAAGAAGTATGTACAGGGTTGTTCACTGTAGCTATGAGTGCAACAGGAGAACCTGACGCTCTAAAAAAAATAAGGGATTATGAAATGAACTATGATGTGTCCGTACTATGGAATATTGTGCAGGAGTTTAAATTAATAGGGAAACTTCTATGTACAGGGAAGGAAAGAGACATGACATAGTGAAGAGAAAGACTCAAGAGGCAGGATGTTAGCATTTATGTAAAAAGAGATGAAAATCACACAAAATAATCTGCTGTGTGTAAATATGTATATATGCATGGGAAAAGATATGGAAGGATAGGTAAAATTCAGAGTAGTCATTACCTCAATAGTGGGGGATTATGAGAAGGAGGGTTTTCACTGTACCTGTTATTTCATTTGTACAATGGAAAATCAATTTAAATTGTTTCTTATTTCAAAGAGGAACCATGAAAGTTTGTATTTTATTTTCATTTTGGCTAACATGAAAGACAAGTGCTCTACCACTGAGCTATAACCCCCAGTCCCTATAAAATTTGATGTTTAAAATAACCACATAATTTCCATCAATAGAGGTCAATGTAGGATGTGGAGGGGAAATACATTTTCTCAGAGATACTGACCTCAAAATTCTGAACCAAGGAGGCTCTTACAATGCAGTTTTTGTATTCATATTTGGAAAGAAAATACTCACAGTTTCTCAGTCCAACGATAGGCTTTCCATGTATTTTTATCAATGTAATCAATAGCGTTTCCATGGAAATTTCTGTGAAGAGACAGTTTATAACCTTGAATAAGTAGGAAAATAATGAGCAGAATAAGTGAAAGAATCATTGCAACCTGGGGGAGGGGATATTCAAATACAGGAAAACATACCAGCTTTCTAACGTCCAGAACTCCCAGTTTTTCAGATTGCAATTAATAAAGAAATAAAGTGGGAAGAGTGGCATGAATGATGAGGCCTCTCATCAGAAGCTTAACTCCCAACTGTCCAATCTCTTACATATATAATGCAAGTCAATTACTTTGGATTTAAGTGTTTTTCTCAAAATGATGTGTGTTTAAACTGACTCCTACCAATCAGTGAGAAAAGGATACATAATTCCACTGGACAATGGGCAATAATTTTTATCATTATTAGCAAATAAGAATAAAGAAACTCTGCCAGGTAACACCAAAGCTTTGCCTAAATGATCTTAGGAAGGTTGAGCACATAGAAAGAAGGAAGTGCAACCCTGAAGGGTGAGGACAAGTAGAAATGAGGGAAATTCATGTGATGATGTGGAAAGCGCTGCTGAATAAGGGAAAGCACAAATCTGAGAAAGAATGGAAGTATTACCTCATTAGGGAGAAACTGCAAAGGAGAGAAAGAAGAAGGAAGGACACACAGGGGTGTATAACAGGGGTTATCTTATGGGCGGTAGGCATGGAAGAGTGGTATGAGGGGGGCTGCATACTTTCATATTTTTCCTATATACTTCTTTGACCCTTGGAGGTGCTGGGGATTGAACACAGGCAATCTGAAAATGCTAGGCAAGTGCTCTACCACGCAGCTACATCCCTGACCATTTGTATTTTGGAGACAGTCTTGCTATGTCAAGACTGGCCTCGAAGTTCAGACTCTCCTGTTTTCAGCCTCTGGAGTGGCGGGATTAAACATGTGAGCCACCACACCAGCTTCTGAGACTTTTTTTAAAAGTGGGAATGTATCCTCGGGTAACACATGATTAAAAGAAGCTGTTAAACCAGGCTCCAGTGGCTCATGCCTTTAATGCTAGCTACTTGGGAAGCTGAGATCAGGAGGATCATGGTTTCAAAGCCAACCCAGGCAAATAGTTCATGAGACCCCATCACAAAATAAAAAGAGTAAAATGGACTGGAGATGTGGCTCAAGCAGTAGAGCGCCTGCTTTGCACACGTGAAGCCCTGAGTTCAAACCCCAGCCTCTGCCAAAAAGAAGCTATTCAATACCTTATGTTCAGTTTCACTCTGGATACCTCTGAACATTTACCTTTAATTCTGTCCTTACCCCTCAGCAACACTCTCCTATTCAGTTTACATACACTTTCTCTGGAGGTGGAGAGAAGAAGCCAGCTCATCTGCCTAGTGGACATTTCCACTCAACCACAAGCTTTCTAATTTCTTACCAAAAAGGACCTAAAACTGAACTCAATTCCCTCCAACTGGCTCTCCTTCTGGAATGCTGTGTTTCCACATGGTATCCATATCCTAACAGGACAGAAACTATGGAGTCATGTTTGATTTTTCTCAACTCTTTAGTCCGAGCCCCAACTCTTTCATCAGTCACTAAATCCTCTGTGCACTTTCTATGTAGGGAATCCCAGGATTTTCTGTCTATTCTCATCACAAACTCTGACTTACTCCCTTCGTACTTAACCTCTCCACTTTGCTAGCAATTTCTAGGTAGTCTCTTTGAATTAACCTTTCCCCTCTAGATCACCCTAAGTAGGGATTGTAAAATAATTCTCTTGAATCATGGTTTGTTTACAGTGCTTGGGAGGCTGAGGTAGGAGGAGAGTGAGTTCAAGGCCAGCCTGAGCTACTTAACAAGTTCCAGGACAGCCTCGACTATATATAGCAAGACTTTGTCTCCAAAATCAAACCAAACAACAAATCCGCTGCTTTAATCATTTGCCTCTTCCTTGGAAACATTTAGTGACTCTCCACATTCACTGTAACTTTCAAACCCCTACAGTTCATATTCAAGGTCTTTTATAATATCTTTCATTGCTTCCTAACCCAATTCTTTGCAGGCAGACTGTTCTACTAAAGCCTGGTTACTGCTGCAGCTACGCCTTTGCCTAGGATGTTTTTTGTCTATTTAACAATTACTCTCTAAGCTCCAGGTAACGTTTCAGTTTATCCTACACTTTTCCATAACCTCCACAACTCAGCGATTACAGATTCTGAAGAATTACAGCTGCTAGTATCTGATTCTCTTTTAGCATTTCATTATATACCATCTCCGCTTTTTTGCCTTTTTTTTCCTTTCTTTACATCTATCATTTTCATGTTCCAGAGACAATGCCATAATTCTGTGACTCCCACAAAACTTAGACCTGGGTTGGGCACAAAATGGACACAATATATAGAAAATCTAAGGACAAAGATGAGTTTTGGACATAACTGAGGGACTGAATATTACTATTAATAGTTAACATTCATATATGTGCTAGGTATTCAGGTAAGTATTACATGCACTCATTCATCTAAATCATACAACAATCCTATGAAATGGTAATTATCATAATTCCCATCTCACAGATGAGGAAACTGAGTCACAGAGCTAAATAATTTCCTCAGGCTTACAAAGTTAATAAATGAAACCCAGGTAGTCTAGTTCCAGATGTATTCTTAATCACTTTGTTGTATCCTCACTCCTCACTAAAGAAATGAGTTGTAAAGAGGGTGGAACAAAACTGGGAGAGCAAAGGTTCAGCAGTGATATGAAGCAGCTGAATAAAAGTGGATAAGGAAAAAGAGAAAGGGCAATTGCGAGTTAAAGAACAGGGAAGGGAACCACGGTAGAAGGAGAATGCCGACAAGGAAAAGTTGATAAGCAAAAGGTAAAAGCAGACAGTCCGTGTGGGTTGGGGAGATGAGGAAGGCCCAGAAGACCTTGAGGAAAAGGCTGCCATGCAGGCAGAGTGCAGAGCACAAGGGAGGAAAGGTGGATCTTACAGGGTGGTGAGGACCTTCTTGTAGGTGTTGGGCTTCGGCACAGGCACTCGGCGGAGCTTCTGCGTTGGGCTGAGACCAACACACAACAGTGACTCATCTCGACAGGTACAGAGCTCACATATGTTGGTGTACGGGGTGGCATTCGGTTCCGTTTGCACAGTTAGCGCACTTTCTGTGGTGGGATTTACAGAATGTGCAATAGTGGTACGTTCCAGACCAGACTGAAGCTGTTCTGAATGTGGAGGTGTCACCTCAGGGTGCTGTGGAGGAGGAGTTGTGGTGTTATTTGCCTCTGTAACTGCCAACGTTGGACGCTGAGCCTGATCTTGACCTGATGTTGAAGGCTGAATTTTAGTCTCTGCAGCTGGCTTTGGAGGCTGAGTTGAGGTTTCCTGCATAGATGAATGTTTAACCTCTGTGGTAGGTTGTGAAGATTTGGTAAGCTCCAGCTTTAAAGTCTTAACCGTGACTTGTGGAAGTGTCACCTCCACCTTTGGGGGAGGAGCTGTTGTCTTCTTCAGAGTAGTAGACTGTTTGGACTCTGAAGTTAAGGGAACTCCTAGAGCTAAAGGTTGAACTGTGACTTCATTCAGGTTGGGATGCTGAGCCTGATTCTGGACTGGATGTGGAAGTGTCACCTCAGGGTGCTCAGGTGGCTCTGGAGGCTGAGTTGAGGTCTCCTGCACGACGGGAGAAAGGTCAGCTCCTGTGGTGGTTTCTGTAGTTATGGTTAATTCCAGGTCTGAAGGTTGAAATGTGACACTGGGTGATGTTGGGTATGGAACTTCATCCTGACCTGGTATTGGAACTGTCATCTCCTGTTGTACTGGGGATTGAGGTACAACCTCCATAGGGGGCTCTGTAAGCTGAACTGGGGTCTCTTGCATGGCTGGAGAAAGCTCATCTTCAGTAATAGGTTGTACAGTTATGCTAAGTTGGAGATGCACAGGCTTCCCTGTAATGCTGGGCAAGATATTCTGATCAGCTTGATCCTGAGCTGGAGGTTGAACTGTCACCTCTGGAGCTGGAACTGGCTGAAGGTTTGCAAATTGGTGTGGAGTTCCAGCCACAGTCTCATCAAGTCTCTGATGTTGAGCAGCATCCTTCTTCAGTTTCCAGCAAATAAACTTTGCTGCTTTTGATCTCTGAGGATGAAGAGGTGGAACAGGTATATCAAATGTTTGGCTGTCTGAAGCCTGCTCTAAACTGACAGTCTGAGTCTTACTTTCAAGTGGAGGAGGCAGAGCGGGTGTTGGGGTACTTTAACTTGCAGCCCACCTAGCCTAGAAATCAGCTATAACTGGCATGACCCTTGGGTAACCTCGTGAAGAGGAAGATAGACTTGACACAGGGTTGTAAAATACGGTAAACTGTCAATTAAAAGCTGTAACCTCGGACAGAGCTGTGAGGAATTGCCCATTAGAGCCATGCAAAAGTTCTGAGATGAAAGGCACCATGCAGAGATAAGCACCCATTCCTGCCTTTCTTTGTCTCCACTTGTAAATAAACTTTCCAAAACAGGACTCCCTTGCTGTTCTTATCTAAACCTTAGGTTTCTATTCCACTACTAGCCCCTAATTTATGGGAGAACGCATTCCTTGTAACCTGATAAGTAAACCTCTGGTGTTTCCCCAGTTCCCAATAAATAATATTACCCCACCACCAGGATGTGGGCAAGATCAGGAAAATGTGACCCCAGGGGCATGAGGAATTCCTATGTGATGATGACTGATGCTTTAAAGAGTATAAGACCTGCTTAAACTTTGCTCTCAGGGTCCTTGTTGAAACCTGCTGCGTCAGGCAGATGCTCGGACCCTAGCTGGCTAGAAATAAACCTCGCCTTGTGACTTTCCTTTGTCTCGAGTGTCCTTTGTCCTCTCAGAAGGTGGCCAGCCTCATACCCTAACACGGGGCCCTGATTCTGTTCCCTATTGGGCATCGGCACCCGCTTCTGGGGGTCTCAGGCAGGTTTAGCTCGTCACTCACCTCCTGATGTGCAACAGCAAATGGATCTGGCTCTGGAGATGGCTGCCTCCCAGAATCCCGGTCTAGGAACTGAAGCAAACTGTCAGTCAATAAATGAGGTGGGGCAAACACCTGCGAGGAGCAGATGACCCTAGATGATCAAAGTCCCCCTGGTCTTCTGGGGGTGTAAACATCTGCCGCATGTCAGGAAGACAGTCCAAGGAGTGTGAGGACCAGGGCTCAGTTGGCCCAGGTGCTTCGGAGGTCAGCTGGACCGAGTCCTGGGTCCTACTCGGAATGGGAAATTCCTGGACCAACAACCACAACTCTAGCGACATAAAAAGGAGCCTTGGGGCCCAAATACCTAGTATAGACATGACATGCAACAGGGACATGTAGTAGACTAAGCTAGAGTCAAGGGAGTAAAGCCTCTGGCAGCTTCTTCCCTAGCTTACCTTGTCAACAGTGCCTGCCCGGCCCCACCCTTTCTTTATGACACGTTTGTTTAGGAAACAGAACATTTTGTAAGACTCGGCCCAGTTGGGCTCCATGCCCTGCAGTGAAGAGCCTTTTCCCACAGAGACAGGACCCAAACTCCATTCCCTTAGAGGAGGCACAAAAGCCTTGTACAGGGCCCCTCCCCCACAGCGAGGTGGGGTTGGAGCTCAGACCTAGGGGCAGCAACCCATTGGGTATGGTGTGACAGTGGGGCCTCTGGGGATATTCTCAGGGCTAGTCCAGTTCTGGCAGCTTCTCCTCTTCCAAGCTGACACCCAGAGATAGTCTTCTCCCCCTGGCTGAACTGCTTCTATAAGAAAAGCAACTCACCTGCAAACCAGGGCTAATTAGGGTGTAGGCAAAAGAGTGTACATTACAGTTATTTACTAGACAATGCTGCCATTTCCTCTAAACTCCCAGTTCCATGGTTCATGATTCACCACTCCCTTACCTGGGGCTACCAGAGCATCAGGAGGGGTCTGCAGGAGGGGTCCTGGGCCTGACACAGAGGGTTAGAATCTGAGATGGCCCTTTACATTGGCCTGGGGAGGCATCCCACCCCGTCTTGGCTCAACACAGCGAGAATCTAGCTGTGACATCACAACGTCTCAGAGGTCTACCCCGTGCACATGTGGACAGGCATTGACTTCCTTCAGAGCCCTTCTTACAATAACCTATTTTACTGTATGTTTATTGTCCACTACAGCCTAGCATGTAAAGTCCCAGAACAGGCTTCATCCTGTTTATTCCTCTTGACTTGCACAGGGCTGGACACATGCTGATGGTTTTAAAATGGAACAGATTCCAAAAGTCACCTCATTTAAGGACGGATCTGTTCTAATCAGATTTCTGCAATCAATGCTAACTTCTTTCTCATTTCACAGGAAGCTTAGGCCGCCTAAAGTGTGAAGTGTCCTTGACTGGTTTCATTTAAACTGAACTAAAATCATTATTTTACATGGGAAAAGATTCGAATACTTTTTCAGAATGAAGGGCAGACTGCAGGAGGTCCCTAAGGTGGTAATTAGCCAGGGAGACACTTCTCCTTTCCAGGAAACATCTGTTTGCACCAGAGAGACACCTCTGCCCTCGGTCAATTAAAAAAAAAAAAGCTATAAAACCCAATTTCCAACCTGGTCCGCTGCATGCCCCCATGCAGCCTTTCCCTTCTCTACAAATAAAATCGTTCTGACTTTTGCTGCTTGAGTCCACTTTGATTTCTATCTCAGAGCGGACCAAGAACCCTCAACACCTGAAAATTCCTGCATATCACCTGCATATCAAGAAGGCAACCACACTGTCTCACCATTTCAAGACAAAATACTTCACAACTTCAGGGTAAATTAAATGATCAAAAACCCCTAAGTTCCCACTGGCACGAAACACACTTTTTGCTCCTCCCCTTTTAAAACATCCTATACATAGTAAGTAACGTCTATTTCCTTCTAGAAATTACCTTGGCTATGTAATCCCTGATTAAGGACTTTCATATAATTGATTTATAGAAAGCTTCGTTGGAAGGCAAAATATTCTCCTTGAGACATGGGGAGACACTGAGATTTAGGCAGTCCTACAAAGTTGAAAGGCATAGTGGTTTTCACATCTGTAACATAATGGCATAAGGCTGAAGTTCTTACTTTGTTCCTAATCCCTGGGATCCTGATTGGGAAGAGTTCTAAAAAAGACTTATGTTCAAGCATCCTGGCCTCTCAAACTACTGCAGAGGGAGCCTAGCTCCTCTCTTGGGTCCAAAACTGTACTAGTACTCAGAGGCCTCAGTCCTGCTCTCCATACCTCAAACATGAACTCAGACTCAAGGCTGGACATTTAGGAAAAGCCCCAGAAATCCCCGCATTCAATTCAGTTTCAGAGTTTCCCATTTGCTAAGAATGATACATGAGCAAATCCTCCAAATCCTGTTGGCTGTTTTCAATCATGGCTACACTGGCTAAGGAACCCTTGAGCTTTCCTCTCCACATACTTGAATTAACTCCTGCAGTTCTTCACTTCTGGCATCTACTGTCTCTTCAGTGGGTCTGTATTCTTTAGCTCTTTTACCACTATTGAAATAAATTGAGAAATTTCCTTGTTCTAAACATCCTGCATATAATGATAGCACCCAATAATGAGTCATTCTTTTTAAATTTTAATTTTTTTTTCTTGGAGACAGAGTCTCATTGTGTAGCTCAGGCTGATCTTGAACTCACAGTGCTCTTGCCTCAGCCTCCCCATGCTGAGATTACAGACCTACATCAGCATGTCTGGCATGAGATGGTCCTTGAAATTCAAAAAGCAGGAAGGGAAAATATTTTCCTAAAAACGTCCTCATTTTACACTACAATTTCTAACATAAACATGTGTTTAAAAACGCATATGAAATATCAACTCTGGTTCAAAAAACTTTGTAATTTTAGGAACAAGAACTAAGAATGACAGGAAGTTGGATTCAAAAATGTTCAAAGATTGAATAGTAAGACACGGGATGGGGGCAAAGTGAGTTCAAAACTGTTAGAGAGACCACTGGACTAGTAGACACCTTACAAAGAAGCAAGGGGCAATTCTGTACTCCTTGCCAACCAAAAATCCACTGGACACAATGCGCACTTTTATTTTAGAAACTTTTATTGGCAGAAACTGCATCATGTATCTACACACAATACAACTTTCTTCAAAGCAAACTAGGAGCATTAGGCGTTTGGTCAACAGAGACAATATTTTCAGTCACTTTTCTCACAAATGTCACAAGACCATCGTTATCGAAATAATGTAGTGAATGAAAGCATAATATGGAGTGTTTTAGATATCCACATTTTCACCCATTTACCTTTTCACAGTAACTTTATTGTCTCATTGAAACTGAAGGCCACTGATTTCCAACTGGCAAGTGGAAGCTCTGCCCCCTACAGACCCTTGCCTTCTTGCATCACATACACTGAGAGAGGTTTGGTGGGAGAACAGATGCTCTGCTCCTACCTGTGCATTAGCCATAGGAGCCTGCTCTGCTGCATTTGCTAGCAGCCGTGCCTCTGACTTAAAACCCTAAAACTCAAGGGCCATGGGTTCTAGAAAAAACTCAGTATCAATCAGACAACCATTTCTAGGTATCCATGCTTGCCTTTTTCTGCTCAAGCCCTTTCATGAGTAGGCAAAGAACTGAACATTTACCCAAGAGTTTATGGAAATCAATAGATGGTGATTTTGCTGAGATAACTGATGACTACAAAGAACAACTATTTTAGCATAAGGCAAGTTCAGTTCTTAACCAAAATTAGAGAAACACTACTTCCTTTGTCCTCCTAAGCTTCTTGGCAGGAAGTCTGCTCTCACATTTGAAACTGAAACACTGTCAGGTGTTGCCTAAAGGGAAAACCTGTGATGTAAGGCACAGAAACTCTACCCAGAACTCTAGTAGCTTAGCAAGAGATAGGCCTAAGAAGTAGCTAAAAAGTAAGTTTTAGAAAGGAAAAATGAGAGATCCTTTTCCTCTTCCCCTCCCTGCACTGAGAACAGACCTTCCTCCAGTTCATCCAGAGGCTCCTCCCCGATGCCAACTCCAGGATTCCTGCAGTCACAGGGTGGCAGTACCACTTCTGCAGTGCAGAAGAGCTTCAGGCTTGGCTTCTTAAGTGGTGCTCCAAGATCTTCACTTTCCCATTTTTCAATGTCAGAAATCTCTGAAGCTGTTAGGATTTTGAATCAAAGATCCTTCCTGAGATTTTGTTTTGGTTTGTTTTTGTGGTGCTGGGGATCAACCCCAGGGCCTCACACATGCTAGGCAAGCACACTACCACTGAGCCCACATCCCTGACCCCCCCCTTACAATTTTAATGTAGAGAAATAAAAACTGAACTCCAGAATCACAACAGTTGAGTGTCCTATAGTTTCAATACCAAGTAAGATTTGCAAATAAATTACTAAGTATAGCTAACTTTTTTTTATTACACACCTCACATGGGCTCCACCATGAAGTGTGAAATTATTATTATTAATTCTAGGTGGTGTGCCAATTCAGATATATCCACTCACCCTCAACAGTAGGTGGGCTCTTACATGTACTCCCCACAACCCAGTTCAATCCTGTTTAAAGTCTAGGATTATAATGAGTGTGGTTAGTCAAATTAATTTTACAAGCTTTACCTTAACAACCCTTTTTGACCACCAACTGAAACCAAAGTAGTAATCTGCCAGTTCTTGGCATGGTAAGCTGTTTAGGGCCAGGGCCTGATGTTGAACTGCCTTATGCCTGGTATCAAGACAAACCTAAAGTCAGAAGAATACAGCCACCAAAATGTCACAACCTGCTGGAGACTTTATTTTGGATACAGATGAAATTCATCAATACTCGTTTCATAAAGAGATTGTGATGATTACATGGATAGGAAGGAACATTTTAATACTGTATTCATAGTGAGCCCTAAATAAATGTTATTTATTATTCCTAAGTCATAGTGCTTTCCTGCATCATTTTTTGGGCCCCTGATAATCTGGAAGGCTTTTGTGACATCTGGTGGTAATGATGATGAAGGAGCCCTGCAGCAAAAGTATGGGGCTGTGAGTGAGCAAAGTTTCTGTCTTCCCATCCACTAGCTCCTGCTTGAGAATCTGACCTAAAAAGCAAATGAACCTGACACTCACTCCATCTCCAAGCTACTAATCCTTGTTAGATGAAGGAATACCCATGTCTCTATGAATTTTACAGGCAACTAAAACTGTTAGAGGCTCACCTGCAATAACAAGCTTCTTTGAGAATGCAAATTTCTCTAAGTGTTAAGTCTAACTATTTTACACATCACTTCTTTCTCTACTACCAATTCATAACCTCCTGAACTATGTGAGGGACTCATAGCTTATTCTTTTCTCATTCTCAGAACCAAACACAGTTCTTAGCAGAGGACTGGTGATTTCCGTTCCCCAACTAAAGCTTCCTGTCGGGAAAGAGGAACGATGGCTGATTTTTAAGTATCCAGTACTACAGGGGAGGCTAGTCTGTACTGTGAGTAACAGTGGAGTTTTTCTGGACAACCGGGAAGCTTCAGAGGGTCTGAGTCCCAGG